CACGATTGAAATTTTCAAGTAGATCGAGCAAAGTTAACTCGAGTTTTTAACACCAGACTAGGGGTGGGAAGTTACCGTTACGTTACCAAGTAACTAGTAACTCGCAAGTTACTAGTTACCGAGTAACTAGTAACGTCGGAGTTACCAGTTACCAGGTAACTAGTAACTTCGGAGTTACTAGTTACTTTTGGTAGGTAACTTGTCTAAAAAGTGGAGATATCGCTTCCTAATGAGTGAATACCATCATTACAGTACTTATTCAGCTCACGAGTTACCGAGTAACTAGTAACGCACATAGGAGTTACTAGTTACCAAGTAACTCGTAATTTTATTGAGTGATGAATAGATGATATTCAGTCATTAGGAAGCGATATCTCGACTTTTTAGACAAGTTACCTACAAAAAGTAACTAGTAACTTCGAAGTTACTAGTTATCTGGTAACTGGTAACTCCGGCGTTACTAGTTACTCGGTAACTAGTAACTCAAAAGTTACTAGTTACCCGGTAACGTAACTCCCGGGTAACGGTAACTTCCCACCCCTACACCAGACTCAACACTAGGACAAAACGCTTGTCAAACATTTTCATTGCGAAGGTCATATCTTCATTAATTTAAATTAATTTTTTTACAAAATTTTCATCATAGATTGTTTTGATGTTGGAGTTCCGAATGAGAAGTTGCACGAAATTCAACGTTGAAAAATTGTTGAGATATGATCTTCACAAGATGATGACACTGTTGAGCTAATAACTCCAGTAGACATTAATCAATCGAGATCAGGTTGGTACCTGTGATCAGAGTTCACTGAGTTCTATTTACACTAAAAATATGAGCACAAATGGTTGAGATTTAAATAGTTTTTATCTGCTAGCGGTATTCCTGATCACTAGTGTATTTCATAACACAGAAAGACAGCCGTTAGCGCTATCCGTGAAGGATTAAAATGTGAAACACAATGAATCTGCTTATATTGTAAATGAAGGGATTCAGTAAAATATCTATCAGTTTTTGAAATATTATATACTGTTACAGTGGGCGCTGAAAGGGAACGAAAACATGTATCTTAAGTTTCATCGTTTTTTAAAATAATTTCACAATAAACTTCAGTGCCGTGGTTATTTCTCTCATGATCTGTGGCGGTTTCGATAGTAATGTCGGTTATGATCCGCGGGGGAGTAGACCTACATTTCTACTCTTATACTTCAATACCCTTTTTAGATCGTATTTCAAAAAAGGTTCAAAAAATCACACCGTTCTTCGATTCAAACTTAGCCTTACCTTGTGGCAGGTTCGTTGTCAGGTTTTTCTTCTGAAAATCTCACACGTTAGGAAAGATTGCATTAGTACATCATAGATTTGTTTGAAAATTTGATTCTGATTGGTGAATTTTCATTTGGATTCTCTATTATGACTGATCAGTTTCACTACATCCACTATCCTAGTTGGCCGACTTCTTGATTTCCTCCTGTGATTAATCCGTAACTTTTCCTCGCCAATTCCGATTAACAGTGAGGACAAACCGACCAATCAAGTTTTATTAACTCACTAGGCGTTATCGTTTAAATGTACCCTCAAGCCATAAACAAATGAGCATTTCGAGAAGTTGTCCCGTCAGTTTGGTAAAGTTTGCACCGTTATCCTACTATAGATACCATTGTAAAAAAGTTTACCCCTTTTCTAGACGTTCTTTCTGTATGATTCCAACTTTTTATCTACGTCAGACACATATTTGAATGATATCTTTAAAAGTAATCCAGTAAGTTACATATGTATAATATTTTTACTCTAAAGTCAATAAATATTTTTTTTCTTTCTAGACAAAACAAATTCAATCCAGCATTATTTTATTAATCAAGCAAAATCCAAAAACATCATTCAAGCAAATTCTAGATTTTATTTTATTTTTTTATTCTTAGCTAGCCTCCTTTTTCCCTTCACTCCACTTATTTCATATTTATCGCTTCCTATTTTTTCTCAACTCCATTTTCTTTCATTTTTCTGTAGTTTTTCTTAGTATTTAATAAAATTTTAAAAAAACAATCAATATTTTTTTATTATCTAACATGCACACAGCGCAAGAGAGATATAGAACAAGCATAAACAAGAAATAAAAACAAGAAGAAACAAGAAATAAAAACAAGAATAAACAAGAAATAAAAACAACAATAAAAACAACAATAAAAAAAAATAAAAAGAAGGATAAAAGAAATA